CACACACACACACACACACACACACACACACACACACAAACTTAAACCAAAACAAACTGGAAAAAAAGCAAAACAAACACAAAATAAAAAATCGGAAAACCAAACACACACACACACACCCAACACATAACGCAAAAGAGAAAAAAAATAGAATTCAAGTCAAACTCTCACACATACATCATTCACGCACACATTGAACTAAAAAAAGAAAAGAACAAACAGAATTAACTGAAAGACTAACATGCAATAATTCACATACACACATAAACAAAAAACAAAAAAAAAATAAGAAAGAAAGAAAAAACTAAAGAAAAAAGATGAAGTGAAAAAAGGTAGGGGACAATCCAGATTGAATCCTCACTTACACATTTGTGCACAAAAGAAAAAGAAAAAAATTTTAAAAAGCAAAGACACAAACAAAAAACCAAAAAGCAACCTGCCTTCTTGTGCCAAGTCCTGTAATTGTTCCTCTTAGTTGCTCACAAGTAAGACCTTTCTTTTTTCCTGTGGAGCTGCAGTCTCATTCATAGTCTTCCCAGTGTCTGACAAAGGTAGGAGAAAGAGGCAATAGAGTGGGTAGGGCTTCAGTCCTCCTCTCTCATTCTTATATGATTAGGGGGATCCTCTCTGGTGGGGAGGTGTGGTATTCTCCCTTCCCCAGGTGATGGTGGGGAGTGCCCCAGCCAAGCTTATCCTGGAGTAGAGTCCTACTATTGCGGTTGATGCCCAGGCTCCCCCATCTCAGTTATACCCCAGACATGTGGGTCTGATGTTCAGAGGATTGCAGGGGAGGAGGGTATTGGGTCAGCCCCAGACTCACCGCCGATCTCTTTGGGGGTCTTCCTCATCCTTTTCTGGTCACATCCTTTGCCCCACAGCTGAATCAGTGTAGGGGGTGGGGTACACAAGACTTAGTAGTCACCCTGTCCCTCCAGAGTTTGGACTTTCAGGATATTCCTTCTGAGTCACAATCGATCTTTGAGTAGTTAATCAATCCACCATCGCAGAGATTGAGTCTGTCAGTTTGTGGTGAGCGAGCTGGAGCATTTCCCTGCCCAGTTTTCAAGCAAAAAACCATAGTGAAATGGCAGGGTGCCATTTCTTCTTCTCCAGTGGGACTCTGTCTCTGGGCTCCCTTGCTGTGCTCCCTCTGCAGCTCTTGCTGCCAGTGTCTGACTGGGTGCTGTGGTTGTGAGGCAGAGCCTGTAGCTGGCAGTCACTCCCAGCAGCTTCTTCCCAGGAAGGGCTTTGCTGGTTAAAAAAATTGTGGCACTCGGTATCTGCACCCTGGGCAGTGTTACAGTCCAAGCAGAGCAAAGGTAGCACTAGCCACTTCACCAGGAGAGTCCTTGCCACTTGTTCCCGAAGCCCCACTCAGCTACTCACGCCCACTTACTCACAGACATGTACGCAAAATGCGCCTTACATTCCCTCACTCATACTGAGACTTGCATAGTCAGACTGGCTCTATCTCTATCTTCCTAGAATCTTCTAGATAAATATTATGATAGCTCAGACACTGAGTCAGATTGAAGGGCATTCAAAATCTAGTGGGAAGAATAGAGACTACCTTGAACACAACACTACTTATAGTTTTATGGCATAACACTATATGTAGCTTTTAATATAAGGGTGGAATAAAAATTGGCCTGAAATAGATTGGAATGGAGAGAAATTGCTCTGTGAGTTTAGGAAAGGAGTGATTCTTTGGATCAGGTATTTATATAAACAATTATACACATACACATTTCTAGGTAAATTTAAGCATATCTAAAATATGTGGGGAGATTCATGCCTGACTACTAGCAGGGTGGTTGTGACTGGTGCAAAATTGTGAATTTTGGATGATTTGAGAGCAAGTTCTTCACTAGTTTATTGAAGAATGTTGAATTTAACTTAACTCTTGAAAGAAACCAGAGAAATAAGAAAGAACATTGAGTGTTGGGTCAACAGACAATATAGGGAGGACTTAGAGATATTAACATTGAAGCATTTGTGACAAAATAAATTGGCACATTTGAAAAGAAAATGAAGAACATGTATTGGCGGATTATTTTCAAAGCTGCCAGAGTTCAGTTCAGCTACCGTTCTGTATGGGGCTGGGGGTGCTGAGGCAATACTGCCCTATTCCTCCACAAGTCTTCTGTCTGCCATCTTCCAGATGCTAGTTCCCAAACTTTGCATCCTGCTTTGCCAGCATTAGAGTCACTAGCATGCCTATCCTTGGCTGTTGCTACTCCTGCTACTCTTTTTCTCTAGGGAGGACACAGAAACTACCCTAGCTGCCTAGAAAAAAATCTAGCAATAATTAGTATCATTGGAGGCATACCATTTATTGTGTTCCTGTTTTCCAAGTTCTGAAAATATTCGAGTTGAAGAGATATCTTTAGGTTCTTTTCTTTCAAGGTTCCAAGACTTGTATTGGACAGCAGCTTGTATTGGACACCAAGACTTGTATTGGACACCAAGACTTGTATTGGACAGCAGATTCTCTGCTAGTACAAGAGTTTAACACTGCAAACAGGCTGTTTTTTAGTAGGCACAGTCCTTCCTTCTAAGCATGGATGTAACATATCAAATGAATGTCGGGTGATTCTTGAAATATCAAGAGCTTCTAATGCCCTGGAGGTTTTCATATGCTTCCATTAAGGTTAGAACTTGCAATCTGTCTGACCTGCTCAATGATGAGACTTCCACTGTAGCTCATAAAGTTGCCTAAGCCCTAGGTTAATTTAGGCGTTGTGAAACCTTCTATAATTATCTTCTCAAGTGAAAATGATCCCTAATGGAAGGTTCTGGTCATCAGAACATCTCTGAAGGCTTAGGTTATGACTCACTGAGTCTTTTAGGGAGCTTACATCAGGAAGCACTGTTTTGGGGTTTGTAATAAAAGGCAGTGGTTTTAGTGAGTGTTTAGAAATAAAGAAAGATAATTCTCATCATCCCTGCATAGTAGCTTCAGCACAGTGGGCATTGGCAGAGAAATAACATCAGTGGCTCAAGATAGCATATTAGTAGTGACAGTTACGAGGTAGGACCCTTCAAAAAAACAATAACTTATTAATAAAAAATTGTCTATTTAGTGTTACATGTTTAAACATCAGTCACCTTCAAAATACTCTCCAATTAATGAAATATACATATTGAGATGCTTTTTCCACTGCTCAAAACAGTTTTTGAGCTTGTTAGTTTTGATGCCTTTTAATGCTTCTGCCATTTTTTTGTTTTACCACTTCCACATCAGCAAAATGTTTTTTTTTTGAGGAGTTTTTTCATCCAGGGAATAAAAAAAAAGTTGCTCAGGATGATATCAGGTAAATAGGGAGGGTGGGGCTGTGGCCATGCCATTTTGGGTCAAAAACTGCTGAACACTCACGTTGTGTAGGTGGGTGCACTCATAAATCACCCATCATGGAATGGGCAAACACCTTGAAAGAATCTTTAATAAAATCGCTAAAGTCTAACACAGCCTCTCACAACAATGCTAGCTGGCGCGCTGATGCAGATGGATTCCAAGAACACTTATCTAGCAGGGAAAGCCTGTAGTACAAGGCATTCACCCTCCAAAATATAATTTAAGTTTTTTGGGGTCCCCCTCATATAAGCCCTATATCATACCCACACTGTCTCCTCCTTGGTCCTTCCTCTTTAAATCAACATCTTAATGTCCTGGCGTTTCTTCTACCTTCTTTAGATGTAATAGTCGAGGAGTTTTGCAACTTCTGTTGAGAAAAACAGTGTTCTCACTTTTCTTTTTCCAATAGTCTATGGATTTTACCTACTTTTAAGCTTTTTCTGTGTTTCAATATAACTTGGAAAGAAAAAAAAAATGAATGCATGATCTCTATGTGTCTGCCTCTAGAATCAGCCGAATCTGTGAACTCATCTTTGGGGGTCACTTCTGCTACTGGCCTGAGAAGGTATCAGTTAAATCTCTCTGCCTCATTTTTGTCTCCCTGGTCACTATTGTTTTCACCACTCAGATAATGAGATAATCCTCTTGTTTAGTAAGTTATCTGTCTGAGGGCACTAGGGAATGATCACGGCACTGCACTGGAGATGATTCTGTAAGGATCTTTGTCTTTCCTCATTTCTTGTTGAACTTGTAGATCCTGCCATAAATTAAAGGTGTATTTTGGAGTTTATCATTTACTTTTGTAATGTACTACTGAGATTTCAATCAATTCTTTCATTTAACTAGCTACTTTGGTGAGGAGGTGATCAAAAGAAATGCCATTCAGATCTGGATACATTCATGTAGAGTGGCAGCAGGTACATGTGTAGAGATGTCATTGTTTCAGAAGCTGCTTGTGGCTTAAATAATTGCTCCTGGGAGGTTACTTTTAGGTTATCTGCTGTAGTGTGTAGGACTAAAAAGCAAAAGGGAAGAGAAAGGTATTGTGACTCTTCTCACCCCATAGATGAGACCTCAGGATGCATTTCTTCTCTGGTAGAAAATTCGTACACCAAATACAATGTCCACATCATTTTCCACTCTTCAAACTACCATATATTCTTCTGCTAACTTTCTATCACACTACATTATTTTGTCCCAAAGGTGAGTTGTATATTAGAAATATATATATATATATATATATATATTTAACTTTGGAAAGATTTCTTTTGAATTAGGTTAATATGTGAGCTTGGGCTTTAGTATTTTATTAATATATTAATTCTTTCTTCTCACTCAGTTTACTTTAGTCAAAAGTAATTTTGAAATATAGATAACTTGCCATCTCCCTTAGGAATCTCATAACTGTATTTCTATTTTGCGGTCATATGTGAATAAACGTGTGTGTGAGTAATTACTGTACTGATAAAAGTGAAATAATGCATTTTAGTATTTCTTAAAAGTATAAATATTATGAATATAATCAATAAGTAATGTGTAAATTTTGTAACTTTATCTTAAAATGACTTATTGAGAGAGGTAAAAATTCTCATTCCTATAGTTTGAAAACCTTTGACTCATTCACATTTTATTATATGTTTTTCAGCTACAGAATGATCCAGACTTCAAAAATAAAATTAAGGCACAAGTTTTAATTTACCCTAGCTTACAGATAATTGATTCCTTCACGCCGTCTCAACGAGAATATGAACATAATCCAATTCTGCCAAGGGATATGACAATTAAAATTGGATGCTTGTATTTCACTAAAGATCAAGCACTGCCCCAGGCAGTGAGGAAAAACCAACATATGCCTCAAGGATCAAGACATCTGTTCAAGTTTGTCAACTGGAGTTCCTTCCTTCCTGAGAAGTATAAAAAGAACCATGTTTATACTGAACCAATTCTTGGAAGACTTAATAAATCATATCCAGGACTTACGGATAGTAGATTATCACCCTTGTTAGTCAATGATTCCCAGTTACAAAAGTTGCCATTAACTTATATCCTCACCTGTCAACATGATATCTTGAGAGACGATGGACTTATATATGTCACACGACTTCGAAATGTTGGAGTTAAACTTACTCATGATCATATAGAGAATGGAATCCATGGAGCTCTGACATTCATAGCATCACCATTTTATTTACATCAAGGTTTTAGAATAAGAGATAAGTATGTTAGTTGGTTAGAAGAAAATCTATAAATGGTACATGTCGCCAACTAAAACTAGTTAATGTTATAATTCAAAGGTTATGTTTTGAAGTCTTGTGAGTTAAATGGGTAGAACAATGATAAGAGTTTGTGTTAAATAGAAGTTTAAATCAACATAAAGGTTATTGTGTACCTTTGAACAAATTACCTAATTTTCCTAATCTTAGATCTTGCCAAAGTGAAGACATTCATGTATTATTCTCATTAAATATTATTCATTCTGCTTGATAAGCTCTATATGCACCAATTGCAATAACACATTAAAAGGGAGTATGATGATAGGCAAACTAGGCATGACAGTTTCCAGGCAGTGATAGGAATACTAGTGAGGGTGAGGAGAAAGTTTAAGGAAGGAATGGCATTTACGTGGGGAAATTACTGCATTATATTGCAGCCATTTTTTTTTCAGTGACATATGGTTCATACATTAATTGCCTCTGCTCATTGTAAGTTCTGTTAACTTTTTTCCTTTCGCTTAATACAACAAAGTCTGTTTTCAAATGTATTGCTAGACTTCTTTGCTTATTGAAGGAAAAAATTAACTTCTGGACTGTAAATCTTGCTACAGCCTGAAGATTTGACCCTTACTCAAAGTTTTAGCAAAATTAACTCTGAAGGTAGATCAATTTATTGCATTAATTATTAATCCAAGAAATTCCTTCATCAGTTGTACATGGCAGTCAGGATTATTTATTTTGTTATTTTGAACTTCTGAAATAAATCCTTCACCTGTGAACATAGACTACATAACTAGCAAGATATTTAACCCGATGATCTCTGTACCTTTTGCCCTCCTTGTTATGATGAGATCAACATTCATATCAGTCTACACCAACCTCATAATTAAAATGCATTCCGATTAGGAAGCATTACAAACAATGTCTAATTTTATGAGGTTTTTGTGATGCTACTGTTTGCCTGGTATTGTTTTCTGTGTCTTTTCTAAATAATGAGTAAAAATGGTTATGTGTTAATTGTATCTTTTGAGCTTGTTGATAATCCAATACCCAAACTTTTTTCCTTGGTCTGCATGTTGACCACCTCCGTTTTAGCTATCTCAACCATAGTCTGTTCAATAACTTTCAACAGATTTTACCATATAAGACTCTTTTCTAAAATTCAAACCCTGAACTATTGCATACACTCCAGAAAGTGAAGATCAGTATGTATTCTTAGCTATTAGTTGCCCCAAGGTACGTGTGAAGCTATCACATCCTTTGCAATAATCATTTGATTGCTTCACCAATAAAACAGATGGGACAATGAATGATCAACTCACCCTATACCAGAATTGAAAAAATATTTGTTTATTTGAATTAACTATATTTTTCCTTCCTTCCTTCCTATCACCTTTCTGTTTATCTCTATTTGTCTAATGTCTTTTAAGGCTACAGTGTAAGGTAGCTGAAGAAAGCTCTCTAGTCAGGGAGGAAGGTGACAAGGATCTCATCTGGGATCCACCAGGGGCCAGTTTTGCGGTGTTCAACATGTCACCCACTGTTACAGGGTTTCTGTTTTCTTATCTTTATTTTTTAAATTTAATTTAATTTTTATTTTTTTAATTATAAAGATGTGGGTTACAATTTAGGGTTAGGTATACAAACATTGGTTATGCAGGTACCCTTGTTGATGAGGTATGCCCCTCCCTCCCCTAACATTCTCTCTCAACTATCAATCACAATCCGCTCCCGCCCCACACAGTTTCCCACTACTGGCAATCTTTTTCTTATAGTATTATAATTGTTCAAGCTCCGCTTATGAGTGACAACATATACTACTCTGTTTTTTGTTTCTGTGATAGATCGCTGAGTATGATCGACTCCAAATCCATCCATGTTGCTATGAAGTCCATGTGTTTGTCTTTCTTTATAGCTGCATAATATTCTGTTGTGTATATGTACCACATTTAAAAAAATCTAATCCAGCTTTGATGGGCAACATGGTTGGTTCCATGTTTTTGCTATTGTGAATAGAGCTGCAACAAACATATGTGTGCAGGTATCTTTTTTGTAGAATGATTTGAATTCCTCTGGGTATATTCCCAATAGGGGAATTGCTAGGTTATATGGAAAGTCAATTTCTAGTTCTTTCTGAAATCACCACACTGTCTTCCAGAGAGGCTGCACTAGTTTGTATTCCCACCAGCAGTGTAGAAGCCTTCCTTTTTCTTCACATCCTCGCCAGCATCTGTTGTTGTTTGTTTTATTAGTGATGGGCATTCTTACTGGGTTTATGTGGTATCTCAATGTGGTTTCGATTTGCATTTCTCTGATGATGAGTGAGGCCTGTTTTCATATGTCTGTTGGGTGCCCGTATATCTTCTTTTGAGAAGGGTCTATTCATGTCTTTTGCCCACTTTTAAATGGGACTGTTTGTCTTTTTCCTTTCAGCATGTTTGAATTCCTTGTAGAGCCTAGATGTTAGGCCTTTGTCAGATATACAGTTGGTAAATATATTTCCCCATTCTGTGGGCTGTCTCCCTGCTCTCTTGATGGTTTGTTTTGCTTTGCAGAAGTTCATTAGTTTGATGAGGTCCCACTTGTCTATCTTATTTCTTGAGATATTGGCCTTTAGGATTATGAACAGGAATTGATTGCCAGTTTCAATTTCCATAAGGGTGCCTCCTGCATTTTCTAAGATTCTTATAGTTTGAGCTTTTACATTCAGTTCTTTGATCCATTTAGAATTAATTTGTGTGTATGGTGATAGGTAGGGGTCCTGTTTCAATCTTCTGCGTGTGGTCAGTCAGTTTTCCCAGCACCATTTACTGAATTGGTTCTCCTCCCCCTAGTGGTTGTTGTTAGAGGCTTTGTTAAAGATGATTTGGTTTAGGAATTGAGGCTTTGCTTCCAGAATCTCTATCCTGTTCCATTGCTCTATGTGCCTGTTCTTGTACAAATACCAGGCTATTTGGATTACTGTAGCCTTATATTAAAGTTTGAAGTCTGGAAGTGTGATACCTCCTGCTTTGTTTCTTTTGCTAAGGATTATTTTGGCTATTCGTCGTTGCTTATGTTCCATATGAATTTGTATATTGTCATTTCCAGGTCTGAGAAGGATGATGTTGGTAACTTAATGCGTATTGTGTTGAAACTGTAGATTGTCTTTGGTAGGATGGACAATTTAACAATGTTGATTCTTCCTAGCCATGAGCATGGAATATTTTTCCATTTGTTTGTGTCTTCTTGGATTTCTTTGAGCAGTGATTTGTAGTTCTCATTGTAAAAGTCTTTCACTTCTCTGGTTAGGAAGATGCCGAGGTATTTCATTTTTTGTGTGGCTATTGTGAATGGGATTGTGCTTTTATTTTTTATTTTTTAATTTTTTGAGTTGAAGTCTCACTCTGTCACCCAGACTGGAGTGCAGTGGCCGCTCCCTGCCACCGCAGCCTCGATCTGCTGGACTCCAGCGATCCTTCCGCCTCAGCCTTCCAAGCAGCTGGAACTAAAGGTGCGCGCTACCATGCCTGCCTAATTTTTTTGATTTATTGTAGAGACGAGGTCTCGCCAACTTGCCCAGGTGGGTCTCGAGCCCACGGGCTCAGGCAATCCCCTCACCTTGGCCTCCCAAAGCGTGGGATTACAGGCTGAGCCACTGAGCCCGACCGGATTGTGCTTTTAATTTGGGTCTCTGCCTGCTTGTTGTTGGTGTACAGGAATGCAACTGTCTTTTGCATGTTTATTTTGTACCCTGAGACTTTGCCAATGTCCTTTATCAGTGCAAGCAGGTTTTTGACAGTTTCTCATGGATTTTCAAGATAAAGAATCATATCATCAGCAAAGAGGGTTAACTTGACTTCCTCTTTTCCTATTTGGATAACCCTGATTTCCTTCTCTTGTCTAATTGCCCGAGCCAGGACTTCCAACATAGTGTCGTACAAGAGGGGTGAGAGTGGGCAACCTTGTCTTGTTTCAGTTTTCAGGTGAAATCTTTTGAGTTTCTGTCCATTTAGCAATATGTTAGCTGTGGGTTTATCATAGATGGCACTTACAATTTTGAGGTATGTTTCTTCTATACCTAGGTGTTTGAGGGTTTTTATCAAGAAGGGATGCTGGTTTTTATCAAAAGCTTTTTCTACATCTAATGAGATAATCCTGTGGTTCTTGTTTTCACATCTGTTGATGTGTTTAATGACATTCATGGTCTTGTGAATGTTGAACCAGCCCTGCATCCTGGGGATGAAGCCTACTTGGTCATCGGGGATGATTTCTGAGATGTGTTTGGATCTGATTCTATCTTGCTCAGGATTTTTGCATGTTTATAAGAGATATTGGCCTGTAGTTCTCTTTTTTTGTTGAATCTTTACCTGGTTTTTGTATTAGTGTGATGTTAGCTTCCTCAAATGATTTGGGGAGAATTCCATCTTTGTCAACTGCATGGAATACTTTCAATAGGATTGGTATCAGCTCCTCCTTGTACATTTTGTGGAATTCTGCAGGAAGGTCATCTGGCCCAGGGCTTTTTTTTTGTTGGTAATTTTCTTATGACAGAGTTAATTTTCTGGGTTGTTATTGATCGATTTAATGTCTCAATATTCTTGTTTCTGTCTGGGGAGGTTATGTGATGTTAGAAAGTCCTCCATTTCATTTAGATTATCAAATTTGTTTCCATAAAGGTGTACGTAGTAATCTCTGATAGATTTTGTATTTCTTTGGTGTCAGTTGTGATTTGATCTTTTGTATTTCTGATTGCGTTGATTTGGGCTTTTTCTCTGTCATTCTGGCTAGGGATCCATCAATCTTGTTAATTCTTTCAAAGAACTAGCTTTTTGTTTTGTTGATGCTTTCTATGATATTTTTTGTCTTCTATGTCCCGTTTTGGGGCTCTTATTTTGATGATTTGGATTCTTCTGCTAAAGTTGGGGTTTTGGTGATCTTCTCTTTCCAGCTCTTTTAGGTGATTTGTTAGGCTCTCCACTTGTGATCTTTCCATTTTCTTGATGTGCTTGTAGAGCTATGTGCTCGTAGACCTGTGCTTGTATAGGTATAAATT